CAGTAAGAAGATCATAGCTATGAGACAAATACTATCACCATTATCTATTGCTTTAGTCTATTTTCTGCTGCTTCACAGAATACCACAGACTGGGTATCTTGTCATAAAAAGAAGCGTATTTAGCTCCTCATTCTTGAGCCTGGAAAGTCCAGGACTAAAGTCTTGCAGGTGGAAGTGCCATGATTTCTGTATTATAGCATGCCAGAAGACATCACATGGCGAGAGAGGTAAAAGTGGGTGAGAAAGAGAAAAAGGAGGCCAGATTTCCAGGGCTGGGGCTATCTAACTCCCAAGGTGACAACATTTATCCACGCATAAAACCAAGCTCTCATGACCCAATCTCCCCTTAAACACCTGATCTCTCAATGCTGTCACATTGGCAATTAAATTTTACTGAGCATTAGTGGGGGTGCTTGACCCTAGCACTAGTTTAAACCCATAAAACAGACACAGATGGTTCAGATACGTTACTCAGAATCATCCAGTGAATAAGCAACACAGCTAGATTTAGTGCCTAGAGCTTAAATGTCAAAGATTTCCTACCCACTACTCTCTCATACCCAGGATGGATGATAGAATAAAACTCTGCCTTTTATTCAAAGAATTTCAAGTGCAGTGACAGAGGACAGGCAGAAGAAGGCTATTTTAGGAAGGGGTTGTTGAAATACAGAAACTGAAAATATTTTGTAAGGCTTGCGTGAAAGTTGAAGGCCTGTATTTCCGCTATGGCTCTTGTCACTCATCTTTCCAACCCTATAAAGACAAAGGCAAGAATTTACCTTTCAATTTTAGTCAGATATCTCATACTTCATGATTACCCACTAAATATTAGAATTTAAAACCCTTTTAAAAAATGTATCATCTATTTTATATTCCCTAACATTAATTCTTATATTAGCTTAGATCTTACCTCCCACAGGGACACGGGTATAGTATGGATATTGCCGAATCTTACTTTATTAAGTGCATAGTGTGTCATTGACTTCAATTGTTTTTTTCTGTTTGCTTAGTCCCACAATGTAGATTAATACAAATTTAACAAGCAGGCACAAGCCACCATTCTGTACATGTAGTATAGAATTTTAATAAAGAGATAAAAATTTTAATACTCAAAGTATGCATTACATAGAGTAGGAAAGTATACAGTAATTCTAATATGTTTGGACAAAATTATTATGTAACTTAAAATAAAAAAGGCCTTGGACACAGATTCAGTAATTTTTCAATACTGGCTCCACTATTTATCTGTGGGATCTTGAGTTGATGCTCCTTTAATTGCAACTTCTGTTGTATTTCATATTAACGGTGATGAATAAATGTTAATGATCTGAAAAAGGGTTTAGTATCATAATAAAATTATTTTGATTTGTTTTGCCTTTTTTCCTCGGAAATAAACTCTGGCATATTTAACACGGATCTCCTGGAGAGTATGATATCATGCTTAATTTGTTGCCTTTCTTTTCTTAAAATGGAAATGAAGTTAATAGCTACTAATTTTTATATTATATTTATTAACTTAACCCATCCGGAAAAAGACAGAATCACATGCGTTTCAAACTAGTTCTCAACTCTTACCTCTGATGCTGTTCCTAAACTTGTAGGCTTTAATTCCGCATTTGTTTTAGCTCTTCTTGGGCTATGTTTTATTTTTTGCATATGTCTAATTTTCCTGCAAAATTAAATTTTTTTTTATTAGAAACAACCTAGTTAGGAAATGCTTATACTAAAAGTTTGTCTTTTCTTTTTTTTTGGAAAATAAACTTTTACTTTGATTATTTAACTCAGATTTTTCAAACTCCAAGATCTCAAAATTTTTTGCCTTAAGAATCCCCTTTACATACATTAAAAAAAAAAAAAAAAACACTTTATATATTTTTAAAAATTGTGGACCACAAAAAGTTTTTATGTGGGTTAAATCTATTAAAATGTATTAAAATGTACTGCATTAAAATTAAAGTTGATTAAATGTTAAAATATGTTTATTAATTTTAAATGATGAAAAGCCTAAAATACATTAAATATTTTATGAATGTAATCATATTCTTAAAAAGAAAATATTAATACAAACTTTTCTCATTTTTTTGGAGAGGTTTTTGCTATAGGGCACATGCACTTGTCAGAAAGAGAGAGAAAGAGAGACAGAAAGCGAGAAATCACCCCCCAGGGTGGATGGCCATGCCATAATCCCTTCCCCTCCATTCTCCTCTCAGTATCTTGGGCACGCACGCACATGCGCCTGGCATGGGTTTAAGCCACTGGATCTGGGACTCGAACCATGGTTGACTACATGGGAATTCAACAACATAGCTATTATGCTAACTGCTGGTCCCTTGGTTTTTTGTTTTTTGTTTTTTTGTTTGTTTGTTTGTTTTGTTTTGTTTTTTTTCACTTACTGGAGATAAAGAAGATAAAGAAATAGGGACAGTGAAAGGGAAAGTAAGAAATTACCTTAAGGGGGGCTGGCCACACAGCAATTTCTTCTCCTCCATTTTCCTCTAGAGATTGTGGGTGTGTGCACACATGTGTCTAGCATGATTTTTTTTTTTTGAGAGATTTTCACTGTAGGGCGCGTGCGCTCACCAGACAGACAGAGAGAGACATAGAGACAGAAAGCGAGAAATCACCCCCCGGGGGGATGGTCACGCCACAATCCCTTCTCCTCCATTCTCCTCTCGGGATCTTGGGCACGCACGCACACGCACCCGGCGTGAGTTTTAAGCCACTGGGTCCGGGATGCGAACCGTGGTCGACTACGTGGGAGTCCAGCGACATAGCCATTACGCTAACTGCTGGTTTCCTCTAGCATGATTTTGAAGCCACTGAGTCCAGGACTTGAACTGTGTTTGGTCATGTGTGAGTGATTGGTCACGTGTGAGTCCTTTGACTTAACCACCATGCCACCTGCTGACTCACCCCTTATTGCATCATTTTATATTTTTGCAAATAGCTTTAATGTCTGGCCTAATTGAAGACAACTGGATTTCTCCACCCACCCACCCCCAATCCGCATATAGGGCTCACTGGAGAGAGAGAGAGAGAGTGAGTGAGAGAGAGAGAACATGCCCCAACCTGTTAATGATGACATGTATAGTATTCTCAACTGGATTGGTCTGAGAAGTATTTCATGATGGGTAAAGTCTTTCTACAAGCAAAATGAGAAATAGTGATCAACTATTTAAAAAAAATGGAATAATAATAATAATGATCGGGAAAAACATTGAAAAGATAGTGAATGATGAAGTGGGGAGTTTAATGTCTCTGTGTTGACCGACATGCATGGCATTCCCTTTTGAAAAAGTAATGTAATACACTGTAAAGCTATATGCAATCCAATGTAATATAAACACGATCATGATGATAATAAATAAAAAAAAAAATATTTGGGGCATGCATGCACATGCACCTGGCTTTTCTTTTCTTTCTTTTTTATTTTTCTTTCCTTTGTTTTTTTTTAGATTTTGTCATAAGGAGTGCATGCTCACCAGAGAGAGACAGAGATAGTGAGAGGAAATACGTGAGGAATCACCTAGCAAGATCCCATACAGTAAAACTCTCCTGAGAACCATCTGGCATCACTCCAGGACTCACAAGGAATTAAGGTCGAACTTCTGCATAATTGGTCTTGGCCAGAGCCCATACTCCAGGCTCTGCTACTGCCAGGTCATGCTAACCAAGGAAGTAGCAAACAAAGACACAAAGCAAGCTCTGGGAGGTCTAACTCCCTTGAGAGGGGTCAAAAAGACCAATCAAATGTTTCAAGTATGCTTATCTCACTGTGCCTATCTCCCCTGCATATCAGTCAGCCATAGTCTCCCGAAATTAATGGCTTGATTATCCTTTAAAAGAACCCCCTCCCTCCTCCCAGGCACCTCCAACATCAGACCTACAGATGCTCTTGCTCTTGATAAACTTTCCTTAATTGATGTTGGAATGGTCTTATAAGGCGTTTGCTGCTGTGCACTGGGATTTATCCAGCTAACACTAATCTGTGAATATTGTAGGTAAGTATCTGATATGCCATAGGTGGGTGCTTTTATTCATGTATCATTACGTAATTTAATAAATAATAACTGAGGGCCTTCTTTTTACTAAGTAGTTAAGTGGAGGTATAAAACAATGAATAAATAGTTAGGGGCATTGACCCTACAGAGGTTAAGTAAAAGAAAGGGATATACTTTTGTTTAGCAAATATAATAAATTAAAGTCAATTTCTAAATAATTGTAAGTTATTTGGGCTGTAGCAAGGAATATTTAAAATATAGTAATAACCTGCAAAAGTCGATTTAGATGTTTTTCCTACCTTAAGAATCAAAGCAGTAGCTCTGGTTTCTTTCTTTTGTAAATTGATTCAGTTCCCTCTTGAGCTGATTTATACCACTTTGCTTTTATTATCGACTTTGACAGTTTGTTACTTATTTCAACTACTCTTTTGTGTAATGAATTTCTTTTGAATAGCCTATAGGCTAGGCTTGGGCTTCATTTCAATGCGTGAACTTGTGTTTTTAAATGAATTCCTCCTTCAAGCAGCAGATCTCCTTTTCTTCTTCAGATTTTATTTTATATTTCTGCAAAATCTCACATATTGACCTCCCTATTTTTCCTAAGACATGGTAGACTTTTCAAAGAGGGAAGATTAAGCACGCAATTAGGAGCAATGAAGCACAAAATTGCTCATGCACGAAATATCATCATTTTCCTTGTGCATCTGAAAATAAGGGATTCATGCGGTCCAATCATGAGCTAACCAGTAAGAAAAGGGCACACAATCACGCACAACCTATCATTACATTTTAACAAATTTAGCAGAGAGTTTGGTACCCACAATTATCAAACTCATAAACACCCACTATCTGATGTGTTTTTCTTCTTTTTCAACATGCTCTTATTTACTATACAATGGGCTTTGATCCTTTCCTTATCTATTCTCTGTTTAGGATAGATCTATCCTCATCTATCCACAACACTTTTTAAGGGACATTAATATTGTCTGAGAGCAACCTTTTGGCTTTTCTAAGACCCAGGTAAAGACCCAGAGGAAAGAAGTGGGCAAGAAACCAGCAAACTCTTTTTAGTTCTGACTCATACACTCTGTTTAACACCCACCAGATTAAATAGCTAAATAGTGAGTAAAACTCAATTTGGACTCTGGTCCAGTGGACCACAATATTTGCCACATTAAAAAAGTATGTCTTCAATTACTCTTCATCCAGATAGATAAATCATTCTCATCCTCCATGTGTGGAAAAGTAAATTGGAAATGAATTGTGTGAATATTTTCGGGACCATTTTTAAAAAGAATTTTCTCGTTTAACTTTATTTATTTATCTATTTACTTATTTTTAATTTGACCAGAGAGGGACAGAGTGAGGGAGAGCTGGGAAAGAGAAAAAGCAAGTTGCCAGATCTGAAACACAAACCACAGTTGTCCATGTGGGAGTCCAGTGCCCCCAACCACCACACCACCTGCTGCCATTATTTCAGTTAATTTATTTAAATCAGAGAGAGAACAAGATAAGTAAGTCCAGCAAGATCTTCAGAACACAAGACATTCTTAGTCTTAGTCAGGTCAGATCACAGTCACCCACTCACTCAGTGTGTTTAGGGAGGTCTTGAGGTCTTGGTATGTCTATTCAGAAACTTTATCATGTAGGTCAAGCTGTGTTACCACTCTACTACCACCTGACCCTATACATTTTTCATTGTTTTTATTAGAAGCCCGATACCACAATAATGACATAGCAATGTTCATCTTTTGCCCACACCATCTTCAAAAACTTTACTTGAAGCCATAGACACCTTTATTCCTGACTCTTCCATTGCATTCTTTCTAAAGATTTTATGTTTTTCTTTTTTCGAACTACTGCCTAAATATATCTCCAATATCTCAGCTGTCGTAGACACCTATTATACTGTTCTTGATTACTAGAAAAGTGATGGTACAGCGTGGAAAGAGCACTGATTAAAGGTCTTGTTTTTTCCCCTCCTACATCAATAATTTTCTGTCATCTTGTATAAACACCTTATTCATTACAACCTCATTTCTTTAAATATGATAATCATAATAGCCACATATGAAAAATAAGTATGTAATCTTAATCTGCATTAAGATCAAATGGAGGGTCTTGGGTACACTGTAAATCAATAACTAGCTATGTATTTTAAGGAAGACAATGCATATTATTAATTACAGTTTAAAATAATGGGTTTAATATTAATGCTCTTGTTCTCTTTCTATGTTTGTGTTGTTTAAATATCACTGATCTTTCCACTATCCCGCCAGCTTCATACATCTTGCAAAGTCTGTTACAAATTCCACCATTTCCATAAGTCTTTCCAACTATTTCAATCAATCGAACTTACAAAATGGTGGCTACCAGTAAAACATTATATATATATATATATGTGTGTGTGTGTGTGTGTGTGTGTGTATATATATATATATATATACACATTAACCCATATATATTATATATTATGAGTGTATGTAACACACACATACACACACATTTTTATATATATATATATATATATGGTTAATTTTCTAAAACAATTTGTCATATAATACATATACTTTATTAAATATTTCAGAATATTTGAATATAATTTTTCTATTAAAGCCAAATAGAAAGATTTACCTGATCCCTCCAGACTTAGGTATCTCTCTCTACAAGAAGGTCTTGAGACTAAAGTATCTTCTCAGGTAGGCTAGAAAAGCCTTAGACAGCGTTGGGGAATGGCAGTCATTCCAGTTACATTGTTAATTCCAGTTAGTGTTCTTTTCTACTCACATAATGGTCATGATTTGGATGGAAAAATATATTTTCCCTCTATTAATGAATCCATGCCATCGTGGTTGCAGCAGCAATAGGGAACATCCAACTCTAGTCATTGTGCGTTTGCTGAAACAAGAGTTGGAGCTCACAGTGATGGTACAAGTGCCAGTTATGAGGAGCAAAGACAGCAGTGATGATAAAAAGCAGCTTAGTGCATACTGGCAGACTATGTGAGCATGCAGTAGGAGGAAGAAATGTGGAATGGTTTTGCTCTCAGACTTCAAATATCCCTATCGAAAGGTAATATGAAATAGCCCTTGTTAGGCTGAAGAAAGGAATAGCCAAGTAGTTAAAGCAATATTGGTAAGAACACTTGGCAAGACTAAGACTAAATCTGTCCTTCGTTTCACACAAACTCTTATATTCTCCTGTGTCTGTCACTTCATGGCTTGGAGAGTTTCAAGATGTACACATAAAATCGATTTCAGGTGAATTTTAAGCAGTCAGCACAAGATCTCTTAGTAAATCTGTTAAGAAACTTCATGAGGCAGTCATCTTTAGTTTCTGCCTTGGGAAATTTGATTTTCTCAAATGTTTATATCTATTTCAATCTACTTTAAACTGAATGGTTTCACATGTGGGAATAATTATTTAATATCCCTCCTTTTGGTTTTAGATATCTCAATATCACAGGGTTTCTGATTTTGAAAATATGCTATGAGTTATCACATTGCACTCTACTCCCAGTACATGTTCTTGATTTAGTTCCAGTTTATAAATCTGTGCTATAGGCATGGTCACAGGGGATAAAAAAGCATAGAGGTATTTGGAAGTGGTTTGATGGTGTAGGCGGATTGTACATACCTTGGGAAGACTCACCTGATCCCTCCATGCTTTGCTTAGGTATCTCTCTGTATCAGCTAATATGTTTTCATATGTAATAGATAGAAGATACAATTATAAGCAGCTTTAAAAGAATAGTCAATAAAATAAGTCTTATGTAAGGAAGAATCAGCTCATGCAGAGGATCTTTCATTTTTCTATTCAACTATCTTCAGTATTTTGTCTTCCAAGCTCAGGTCAATGCCTCTAATGATCACAAATGCTATAACACTTTCAGTTTTCACATCCTCACACAATCCACTTGGCAGAGAGGAAAGAGTACATCTTACTTATCCACAATCCAGGAAATCAAACCTCTCTCAAAAATATTAACATCAGATTAAACCATGTGGAAGATAGAATCTCTGACATGGAAGACTGACTCTAAGTCAAGATCACCAAAATGAATGAAAAAAAAAAAATACCCCCTCCCCACAAAAAGGAGAGCACTATATGGGAAATACTATATACCATTAAACACCCAACTATCTACACAATAGGTATTTCATACATAAGGTGAAGAATATGATAAAGGCATGGAAAATCTACAGCATACTTGTTGAAAACTTTTCAAACCTAGAAAATCATTCCAGCATCCAGATTCAGAAATGCAAAGAACACCAGATAGAATCAACATAAGAAGATCCTTCCCAAGGCACATTACAGCCAGATTGGTAAAAATCAAAGATGAAGACAATATTCTAAAAAAAATAGCAAGAGAGAAATATCAAGTTACTTATCCTCTCCTTTTTATTGAGAGGAAAAAATCCTTTTTCAGACCCCTGAAAGTAAACTTCAGTCCCAGCCTGGTAACAGAGTAGGTAACAAACTGCACCGCAGAACTGGAAGACACTTGGCAGCCATCAGATTTGGGTTTCTGAATAGACCTGAAAACATGCCACTTATATGCTTGCTAGCGTGCTCAAGATCCTGTCCAGCTCAAGGGCTGTGTGAAGGAGTTCACTGTGTGATGAAACCCTGTCTGGGGTACTTCTCTCTCTGTAATAGCAAAGAATGAGGAGATAATGGCTATTGGATAGAAGATCTATAGCATTTGTCACACTTCCACTGTGCTTCTGGAACATTTACAGAGAATACAACTATTGCCTGCTGTTTGTTTTACTCTTTTCCATATGTACCCATATATTTTACAAAAGTAGGACTTGATTTCAATTCATTGTAGATCTGCAAAATCTCATAAGCAGTAAGTGATTTTGTTAAATGAACAAATTGATACTCAGTGTTTCTGATTATAAATGGCCAATAAGCCTTTAAGATACATCAACCTAGAGTCAGTGTCACTCTGTAGGCTACAGAAAACTTGAATGCTCTTTTGTAAATAGGTTTCATAAATCATGGTAGGATAAAGCAAAGTCTAATCTTTCTCCCTTTGGCTTTTTAAAAAATTCTATAAAACTTTACCATAGTATTTCTGCCTTGCATATGTCATCTTTAGTAATATATGCAGGAAGCTTTGAGAAAGAAATGAAATATATGCAGGTGTAGATATTGAAGCAAAGTGTGTTATTTTGTCATTCTATTGTTCCTAATCTATGAATAAGGCTATGTTTCATTTTTCTTATCACATGTTTAGTAGAAGAAATGATCTCTACTTACGGCTTACAAAAGAAAACCTAGTGTAGGAACAAAGTACCAATTAATTTTCATTCATGTGATGTTATAATAACATCTCTGAAAGACAGCTTAAGGCATAATGGGTTTTTTCCTCCTTTGAAATAAATGATCTCATCTTGGATGCCAATTTCAAATTAATTTTATAAAATGAAGTTTAGACTTTATAAAAGGAATGCACTGAAATTAAGAATAACACATGGTACTACATAGGTCATACACATACAGAAAATAAAAAGTGTAAGATTCTTGGCAAAATTATGTTTTATCCTTTGTGGAAAAAACAGAACCTTTATTTAAAATATTATACAAAATAGCATAAAATGAAAAAAAAAAAACATCTTATATGTGTTTAAGTACCAAAACAAGTTGATTAATGCATTCTCTCGAGATATGGCCATAGATACTGCCTTAGAAATATATAACCTTTACTCTTCTCAAAGTGGCACTATTAACATTTGAGGCTGAACAACTGCTGAGGATGGTTGCTTTGTTCATTGTTCCGCAGCATTTCTGTCCCTACCCACTAAATGCCACTAATAGCCCCCGCCCCCCAGTTGTGACAATCAAAAACATCTCCAGAGATTACCTAATATTCCAAAAAAGGAAAAACCACTTTAAGTTGAGAAGTTGATTACTGCTTTGTCATAATCAAGTGTAGCTGAGAACTATGGCCTTAGAATAACATAATTATAGCTCATCTTAAAATTTATCAGTTTTCGAAAAAGGAACAAGGACTGTGGGTGGCGCAGTGGTTAAGACAGCTGGACCCCAGATGCCGGACTGAGTGGTTTCCAGACATGCCAGGCATGTGTGCATACATGCCCAAAATTCCAAGAGGAGAATGGAGGAGAAGGGATTGCAGCATGCCCATCCTGCCTCAAGGGGTGCTTTCTCACTTTCTACACACTTGTCTTTCATACAAGTGCATGCACCCCACTGGAAAAAAAAAAATTAAAGAAGAACTTAAGCAAACAAACAATTCCACTGAAAAGGATGAGTTCGATGAGGTTGTTAGTTTGAAGTACGAGATTAGTGCCAAGGTTGTAGGCTATGGGAATCAAAGAAAGATGATTGATTTGTAAGATGCAATCTTTTTAAATCATTTTTTAAAAATTATCTTATACATTCAATCACTACACATCATTTCGACTTGTAAAGTGAATTTGTCCAACATGTATACACTCATACCAGTCCAGTTGAAGATACTATACATGTTATCATTAACAGATAATCATCCATTTCTGTGTCCCATACTTGTCGTGCCTCTCTACTTTTCTCCTTGATTCCCTTCCTCTCACTCCCCCCCCTTCCTCTACCCTCTTCCCACACTGTCTTCATTTTCGGTAACCATTTTCCATACTAATATATGTTCTAATCTTTCAGTTTCCACCATGGAGTGCAGACAATCAGTGTATATAAAGTGGAGACATACGATGTCTCACTCTCATAGCCTGGCTTACTTCACTCAGTGGTAAATCTTCCATATTTGTCCACTTTTTATCAAATGTCAGGGTCTCATTGATTTTTATGAGCTTTTTTATTGTTTTTGAAAGAACATTTATCAAATTGTTTCTTTTCTTCTACTACTACTAAAAAATAAATAAAAATCACTAACTCAAGAAATATTCATGAAGCCAGCTTTCTGCATTAATTATCTTATTAAATGTTTGAATAAAAATAACAGTTAATCTTATCACAAAACTAATTATTTAAGTACACCCATAACTGCACTGTTACAAGAGAAGTATTAGCAAAGCAGTAAAGGAGCTCAGAGGTGAAATTAAGTAAATTTTCAGAGTGCAGTAGAGTTTTCTGAGTTTCCACATAGGTATCATATTTAAAATTGATTTTTCAAATAAGAATAACATTTTATAAAGAAGGAATTACGTTTAAAACAATTATACATACTAGTGAACTTCAAGTCGGGTCACAGACCTGGAACAAGGACAGGGCAAAAAGGAGTGGTTAAAATGAATCCAGAATGAAAAGCAAAGTTGGACTATAACAGGCTTATATGTAATGTCAAAATAATTAGGTTCTTGTCCTGTTAGTCTTAAACAGTTCAATGATTTGAGTAGGCTTATAATTTAGAAATGCTGCTATAGTGATATATAAACATTTAAATATAAAGTAAGAGAAACTGAAGGCAATAAAAACTAAGTTATAACTAAGTTACAAGAGAAATATTGTAGACCCCAAATAAATCAGTAAAAATAAGCACACAAGACTAAAATGTTCAGAAAATGTTATTGTTATAAAACAGATTTCTTAGAAATAAGTGAAAAGAGAGGCAGGTGCAGAAGATTCAAAGCAAAATGACTTCAAGTTTTTGGTATAGGTAATTTGGAAAATCTTGATGCCATTAAGCAAAGATGGGATGTATAAAAAGGAAAAACAAAATTGGAGGCAAAACAAATTCTGTATATATGTATGTGTGTGTGTGTGTGTGTGTGTGTGTGTGTGTATCAATCGAAGGTCATTTGGAACATCTGTGAAGGTATTCAAATTTAGTGGAAAACTATTATAATTCTCAGTAGAGATCTTAAAATGAAGTTATAATATGAAGGTAAATGTCCAGTGATGGTAGAAGTAAAAGACATCCAAGTTTAGGATAATGGAGGAGCTCTAACATTTAAATAAAGGGTATATGGATACTCTAAAAAGAAGAAAAGCAAAAAAATACTTCAGATTGGAAAGGGATACACCATGAAAGGCTTTTTCTATGGAAAAGCAAGGTAGAAAACATCTTTAATGAGAAGTTAGAAAAAAAATATCCATGAGACCCAGTCTTCATATGCGGTAGAGGCATTTAAAAAACAAACAAACACACAAACAAAAAAAACAGGCATGTAGAAGAGTGTCCTTTGAATGTGTAAGATGGGAAGTCATTGGTGACCTTAATGCAATAGTCACAGTGCCAGTGCCATACTGTTTTGATTATAAATGTTTTGTAATATACTTTAAAGTCAGTTAGTGAGAAGCCTATTATTATTATTATTATTATTATTTTTGGTACCATATTGCTTTGGTGATACAATGTATTTTTTGATTGCAGACTGTTTTGTAATTTTTTCCCCATATTCTATGAAGAATATCTCAGGAAATTGGATTGGAATTGCATTGACTATGCAAATTAATTGGGGTAGGACTGACATTTTGATTATGTCGATTCTTCCAACCCAAGATAACTGGATATCCTTTTAATTTTTTGTGTCATATTCAGTTTCCTTTTTCAGTTTTACATAATTTTCCCTGTAGAGGTCTCCTACTTATTTGTTAGGTTCATTTGTAAGTATCTTATTTGTTTTGTAGCTATTGTAACTGGGATTGCTTTCCTCAACTCTATCTCAGTCTGTTCATTGTTGATATATAAAAATACTATAGATTTAGTATAGAGTATTGATGTATTCTGCTACTTTACTGAATTCATTTATTGTTTATAGAGATATTTTTGTGTATATTCTTTTGGATTTTCAATGTATGTAATTATGTCATCTGCACATAGGGACATTTTAACGTGTTTTCCTATCTGAATGCCCTTAAGTCTCTTGTCTGATTGCATTGGCTAGGACCTCCAGCACTATGTTAAAGAGGAATGTAGAGACCCTTGTCTTGTTCCACTTTTTAATGGGAAGACTTTAGCTTTTCCCCATTCAGGATGATGTATGAAGTCGATCTCTCATGTATGGATTTTACTGTGTTGAGAAATGTTATTTCTACCCAAATTTTTCTGAGAGTCTTGATCATGAAGGGATTTTGTATTTTATCAAGTGCTTTTTTCTGCATCTCTATATATGATCACATAATTTTTGTCTTTCTTTCTGGTAATGTGGTGTAATAGATTTATCAGTATATGTATGTTGAACTACCCACACATCCCCAGGTAAAGCTTGCCTGGCTCTAGTGTCTAAACTTCTTAATATGTTGTAGGATTCAGCTTGCTAGTATTTTGCTGAAAATTTTTGTAACAGTATTCACCAGGGATATTGGTCTGTAGTTTTCATTTTTGTTCTGTCTTTTTCTGTTTTTTGTATCAAGGTAATAGAGGCTTCACAAAATGAGTTTGGGAGAATTCCGTCCCTTTGAATCTTTAAGAAAATTTTGAGAAGAATTAGAGTTTTCTCTGCTTTAAACATTTTGTAGAATTGTGAAATTTGTATATGAACATATAAACTCATACACACAGAAACACACATATATCTGACATAAACACATATGCATATAGGCACTTGTACATTCAGTATATTTGAGATACAAATATTCAGTTGTACTAGGTTCTTATGATTAACACAATATACTGTATTCAGTTGTTAGAAATTACAGACAGAATTAGATTTAGTGATTAGAAACATGGATGATATTCTCATAACGAAGAGTCCTGGTGCCATAAAAAGAGAGTTAGGATATGAATTGGCAAAAAATTTGGTAGGAAGAAAAATATATTCACATATCTTAATATTGTAGTGATGACTGTTGGCATTATTTGAATGCTTTTTATCTTCACTTTAATGTAGGTTAAATTATGTGTATTTCACCTTTCATTGTTTAGCTGACATATTAGAGAACATTTCTGTTATTTTTAGAGTATATTATACAGAAATTTTTCGTCAATGCTTGAGTAAATTGTAGAATTATTAGAATGTTAAGTGGAAAATAGCAACTGTTCATGGTCATACAGGAATGACTTTTTCTTCTACTCCTAAAGCAAGTATCTACATTTGGGACCTCTCTTCTTTCTACTTTCCAACTTTCGCTCATTATGAAATCTTCAGACTCAGTAGAGGTGAGTGTAATTTTACTATTTCATATTGTATAATTTTCTTAACTTCAGAGTTTTAGAATGGAAATATTCCACTCACGATTTTATCTCCTCCTCTTCTCTTCTTTTTGTCTGAGTTAATACAAAATTATTGACATTGAAAGAGGCTAGCTTCACACCACACTGTGGATAATGAGGGAAGATCTAGCACAGGGCTTGCACTGACATAATCTCAATTCTTTGAGATTTATTGAGATATGCTTTACATTGTAGAATAAGATAAATTTCTAAAAGTACTTTGTTCATTACAAGAAAATGTGTTCTCCAAATTTGGGTGGCCATGTTCTATTGATGTCAATTAAATCAAATCTGTTTATTATTAAATACTTTAATATTTATTGATTATCTATCCGGTAGATCTCTCAATTATTGTAGGAGATTGAAACATCTTACTTTGCTAAAACATTTATCAATTTCTCCTCTTAATGTTGTTATTATTATTATTATTATTTTGCCTGTACAATTTGGAGCTCTGTCATTAGAGCATACATACTTCAAATTGTGTCTTTCTGGAACCAGCAGATGGTGTAACGGTCACTGAACTCATAGTCGCCTGCTGTTCAAGTCTTGGATCTAGTGGCTTCAAACTCATGTTGGGTGCATGTGTGTGATGCCCAAAATCTCAAGAGGAGAATGGAGGAGAAATGGTTGCCGCATGGCCATCCCCCCTCAGGGGTGAGTTCTCAATTTCTGTTTCTCTGGTGAGTGCATGTGCCCTATAGCAAAAATATTTCTTTCTAAAAATAAATAAAATAAATTGTGCCTTCCTGGTAAGTTAGAAACTTATTATTGTATACTGATCTTAATTTCCAGTATTATTTTTACTGTGACTATTTTATCAGATAGTAACATAGCTAAATTATTTATTGCCAGTTACTGTATTTGAAATTATTATATTTCAAATGCTCACAAATGCTCTATACTATTCTATGACTTTCAACTTTTTTGCCCATATATGTTTTATGTAAGTAGTGCCATCTGCACTCACCAGAGACACAGAGTGAGACAGAAATTCCTCCTTCCCCCTTAGAGCATGTGGTCACATTGCAAAACCTTCTCCTTCATCCTCCTCTTGGGATTTTCACACCTACACACACCCCCAGCATGATTTTCAAGCCACTGGGTCCAGGACTTGCACCATGGTTAGTCAAGTGGGAGTCCAGTCCCTTAACCATTATGCCACCTGGTGGTCCCGGAATCTTACATCTTATTAAGACCTCAACTCACATTGTTTTGTTGTCCAGTATTTAAATACTAGCCTATTTTTATTTTTTATCTTTTTACTAAATTCTAATAGTATTCGATAGAATTGGAAAAAGGTCAGTGGCCTTAAATGAAATGGCAGCATTAACTTAACCCTTGATTACCTGAACAGTGGGTACAGCCAAGCCATCCCCAGACTGTGAAATAATTCATTTGTATTGTTTGTGCCAAGTTTCTTTGTAATGGTTACATAGCAGTAGAAGACCAATATATTCATTAATTATTTAGAAAACAAGGAAGATGCTGCAACTGACTCACAGAATTCAAAAAACTCATATAAATAATTAGAAATGCTGAACACAATTCATAAATAAGTAACAAAACTGGCCAATATCCACAAGGTGATGATCAAATTCATTGACTAGACAAAATTCACTGTTATTTTTATGGGGAAATACCATTGACATTATTGTTAGTTTTTTTCCTACAATTGGAAAGAGTTCAGAGACGATAGATTTTAGCCTCTTATGGAATTCAATAACCAAGAATAGTGCACATTTAGTTTTTTTTTTTTTTGCTTATTTAAATATATTTTTATAATTTTTCTGATCAAGCAAAATAGGGATATGGTTTTAAATTTATGAATTTCAAACTTTATTAATGGGTATAAAATATGTATTTAGGAGTGTTACTCACATAGAAGATGTAATTATTATTAAAAATGATAACTGATAGGCTCTTGAAGCCTTGCTAGAATGTACACAGACTAGCGCATTTACTTCTGCCAATGTGAGTTCTGTCCTGTTTTGTTATTCAACAATGTTCAACCATACAGGGAAAATATTTCCCCGAATTTATTCAGTTAATTATCTATTACCTGGAACTTCTGTTTGAGAAGTTCAACAAATACTTTGCAGTGAAGAGAAATGCACTGGGCATTGAAGAGAAATTCTACCTCTACAAATTCAGCTTAGAGAATGTTTGCCAATAAATGTCAAATGCTAATAACTTCCCACTAATCATTGTGAAAATAAATCATTCCCCTAAAGCGTTCCTCTGAGAGTCTTTGAAAGGCATATTCAGTTTTCAAAGTAAAAAGAGTTTTAAGCTTAAGAATGGTTTCTTTTCTTTTTTTTTAATAATTATTTTATTTAACTTAATTTATTTATTCATTTATTTATTTAAATTTGAGCAGAGAGGAACAGAGTGGGACAGAGTGAGAGAGGGAGAAAAAGAGAGAGAAGGAAAGTAAGAAAACAAGTTGCCAGTCCCAGGACTCGAACCACAGTTGCCCATGTGGGAGTCCAGTGCCCTTAAACACCACACGACCTACCAGTCCCAAGAATGGTTTACTTTCTCAAGAATTCTATTTTTTTGAGAGTTCTTTGTTCAAATAGTTACAGCTACAACATAATGGATTAGTCCTTTTGTTTTTTTAATGATAAAATATACTCATGTAAAGGTTCATGATTTTTAGTAAGAGTGTAGGAAAGTTGGATTTTTGCTTGCTCTTCAGTTTGGCAAGCAACGCTTATAATGTGAGATACACACCATTATGTGCTTTCTGTGGTTTTGTTCAGTTTGAGCCAAAAGGAAGTTTTGAGTTGGCAGTAGGATATTTTCTATTTACAAGAAGTACAAACAGCTGCTACCAGAATGTAACTACTGGATATATTAGCTAAGATAAAGGTAAAAGTGATATCTAGGCCTTGATAAATCCAAATGACTAATTAAGAAACACTTATATCCTAAACCAGGAGCAAACAAAATAAACTTTTAATTAGAAAATCCTCTCATCTTTGGCTCTGGTATTTATGACTCAGATAATACCCTGTTATTCAAGTGTTCTACTGGGATTCTAAAGATTTTTGTGCTTCAGTGATGAGACCACATGGGACAAGAATGAGAAGAATGAGGGTCTTTGTTGATATGTAGAGGTGACTACCATTTTAATCTAAGAAATTCTACTTATACAATATGTGCATGCTGATTTTCTACATAAGTTTCATTTTGAAAATAAGATTTGCCCTAAAGTATTTAAAATGTCTGATTGAGACTAGATTCATTTTCTATTGGAAGCCAAACATTACTGAAAATCAGCAACTTAAACCAACACTCATTAATTGTCTCAAATTAAGCAGGCCAGACATTTCCTGAGCTCATTGGAGTTCTCAGTCTAAGGGATGACCAGACTGGTATTAAGGTGCTAGTTGGGTCATATTCTTATTTAGAAATTCTCAGGAGTAATCTGCTTGCATGCTCATTTAGTTATTAAATTTAGTAATTCTTTGTGATTATAAGATTTCTCGCTTTCTGTCTCTCTGTCTCTCTCTGTCTGTCTGGCGAGTGCACGCACCCTATAGTGGAAAACCTCTAAAAAAAAAAAAAAGGGAGAAATCACCCCCAGGGGGGATGGTCACGCGGCAATCCCTTCTCCTCCATTCTCCTCTCAGGATCTTGGGCATGCACGCACACGTTCCTGGCATGAGTTTTAAGCTACTGGTTCCGGGACGTGAACTGCGGTCGACTATGTGGGAGTCCAGCAACATAGCCATTATGCTAACTGGTGGTTCCCACCAACTCTTCAAAATGATGGCTGGACACAGTCCTTTTGCTCCTTTTTATTTCCTGGTTCTTCTCCTTTCTCAGGACATTTGGCAAGCCTTTTCCATGGGCTTGTACTGAGCCTGTGCCTTTCCATCAGAAAAGAGAGAAAAGGGGAAATAAATACCTTATAAGGAAATAATAAAACTTAGGCAACATCCAGGAAGATTGTACATCCCAGAGAACTCAACCAATGAGGAACTGGAGGAGGGCCTTGAGCACTGGGGAACAAATTGCTTGTAGTAACCGTTCCAGGTATGCCTGCCTATCAGAAACCTGATCTTGCTGGGCTGCCAATAAAGTTTCGCTTCACTGTACCTCCTGTTTCTGTGTCTGTTCTTTGGCATTGGATGGGTGAACACCTTTCTCACAAGAAGTACCTAAAATCTGCTTTCTAAACCCTTCAAGACTTTTGATCTTCAGTAAATGTTTATACTTTATTTAAACATTTTCTCTCTTGCATTTATTCCACGCACTTACATTTAGGATAGTGATATTGAAAAAACAAACAAACAAGAAATAAATAAAAAAATAACATAACCAACTTAAGGACTACAATAAGCTATATAGCCTCAGCTAGGTGCTAGTCTTGTTGTATGTTCATTCTACTCACTGAGTCTCATACCTAAAGTCAGACATGTCTTCATAGACTTGTTTATATCAACTATACTTACTATTGAAAGTATTTCATTTAATTAAGATCCTTTGTGAATCCATAAAATATGGGGAAAAATCATGGAAAGCAAATATAGATACCAGAGACTGTGGGAGGAGAGTGGGAAATGTCAGGGGGTGAGAGGGAAGGAATCAAGAGGGAAAAAAAAAGAAGTAAAATATATAAGAAACTAGCAAATCATAAGTACATCAAGATTCCTTGGGGCAGTTTAGTAACAAATACAAGTGGTCCAGCTCTACCTAAAACCTAGTGACCCTCAATGTAGGAAGGTTAAACAATTTCCTATAGTGATTATGAATCCTATCAAGTTATATAATTTACCTATTTAAGAACATACTCTAACATTTTTAGAGACAATGTTGTCAGCTAGCTCACATGTTCACTTTTTTCATAGCTTTTTATCCCCCATTCTCTACCACTCTGAAAGCCTTTACTGAAGACAGGTGTCATCCTCGTATTTCAACCATCTTGATGTTGCAAT